TCCTTGGGTGCTTTGGACCCGGCGCCGCGAGAACTCTTAGCCTCTGAAACCACATCGAGCATCTTGATCCCGTCGAAACGTAGCCCGGCATGAATCATCATTGACGCAGTCTTGGTTCGAAGCGGAGGTCGCCCATCGGACCCAGCATCTCTATATCCACTGAACGCAGTCTCGCTTCTTCGGTCGGAAACGCCCGCGCCTAGCACGGCGCCGCGATCGGGGGGAGGACGACGAGGTCTCCAAGGGTCTGGGCGCGGCCCCGCCGACAATCGACAGGTCTTCCTGCGAATTGTTTAGGAGCGGCGCCGGGCAGTGCAAATCAAGGCTCGACCGCTGCGACGTCCTCGGGGGCAAGCGCTGCCGCTGTCAGCGTATGTGCGCGTTTTGCTCGGGCGGTCAACAGCCCTTTGGCATGGCTGGCTTCTGTGGGCGGAGCTTCGACTGTCGGGGCAAGTTGCGCAGATCTGGGCTCCTTCGCAGCGACGGAGTTGGGCCTGTCGCCCACGGGGGCAGAGGCGGCCGCATCTCAATTGCTGGATGACGGCGCCGTTTACGAGACGATCGGTAACCATGTCCAGGTGCTGAAAGGGCACGGTTCTTATTCCAGCGCGGCTGCGAACGGAGGCGAGGGGTCAACGGGGCGCTGGGCGACGCGCGGGACATCGCGGAGGGGGGCCGACCAAGAGTCCGACATGGCGCAGCTGGCAGATATGAGGTCACAGACGTAGTGCTTCGCGTCGCGCCTCTGGCCCTTCGCCCCGACGCCAAGTGCAGAAGGCTCCTTTTTGCGTTGCCAGCTAGGCCCGATGCCAAGCGCGGACGACCAAAGCCGAGGCGCAAACCGCGAGGGTGCCATTTGCAGCACTTGCTTTTGCACGTCATGTACCTACGACTTCCGCTTGAGTTTCCGGTTAGGCCCCGTGCGAAGTGCGGAAGGTTAAAGCTGAGGTGCAGGTCGCGAGGTGCCGTTTGAAGCACTTCTCATTCGTGGTCCCCCTGGTGCTTCGGACGCGGCGCCGAAGGAATTCTTTGCTTTGGCGAAAAAAACGATGCGTGGGTATATGCATGTGAATGAATGCGTGCGCGAGGTGGATGTGCAGCCGCGCTGCGCGCGCGCGCGTACTCGCCGCTCACGTGGGCGCGCTCGTGGAGCAAACAGTTATCATGGACAAATGCTCGCTGTGATACTATCCTGCAATATGATGTGCGCAGATGGCCTTGTGTGGCTAAACGCTTGTTTTACATATCCCACTGCCGACTTTCCTAAAACGCATGCACGTTGCCTCAGGCTGAGGAGGCGCGGCCTGGCAGCTGCGGAAGGGGGGATGAATGGGGGGCTCATTTTCAATCATACTCATGGCTCATTCTGACCCATACTCACTCGCATTAGGATTCACTCGTCTTCGTCGGCCCTGTCGCCCACGCGGGCGCGCTTTGATAGTCAATCAGACGCCCGCTATGGCATGACATAAAACATGAGATGAACATATGGGGAACTCCACGCAGCGGCGAGTAATTCACCCCCCCCCCCGCAACCCACGCTGGTCCCTGGCGCCGGCGGGCCTGTTTGAGCGCGCCAGGGCGCGCCCCGCGAACGTTTCCCGCGCCGCGAGGGCCCGCGGCGCCAACAGTCCGCCAGGGCGGCCCAAGAGCGCTCCACGACGCCCGAATGGCTTGATAAAGGCCCAGGAGGCCCCCCAGAGGCCCCGAGCGCGCGCTGAGAGGACTTCCAAGGGGGCCCCAAGAGGCAAACACCATTCATATTCAGCATGGGTTTTCAACGTTCAGCCCCAGAGGCGCCCAAAACGGCCCGCGAGGCCTTCGGGGCGACTTTTACGGGGGCCCAAGAGGGGGAACACAAACCGACAAGTCGAGCCTTCCGCACCAAGGGGCCCCCAGGAGGCTCCAAGAGACCCCAAAGAAACCCACAAAAGCCACCAGAGGCTCCAAAACGGCGCCCCGGAGACTTCAAAGTTTATCCCCAAAAGGCCCCCGAGAGGCTTCGCAGGATATCCCAACGAACTTCAAAACAACTTCTAACCCGCAACCCAGGAACGGTGGCGGCACGGGCCGAATGCACCAAGAGGCAACCAAGAGGGTTTGTTCAGCCGTTTTCGTGTTCTCGCTTTTTCGCGATTCCAATTTCCCGAGACAGCCCAGGAACCCCCCAGAACATTCTGAAGACGGCCTAAGAGGTCCTCGACGTGGCCCCAAGACAGCCCAGAACCCCTCCGACACTGCCGAAGATTCGGGAGAGCCCCAAGAGGACCACACAAGAGGCGGAATCCGGACTCACAGAACCACCCCGCCCCCCGAAGACGGCCCCCGACACCATTAGCAGAGCGCCGACAGGCTGCCAAGAGGCCCCAGGAGCGCCCTAGGGGCCCCGCAGAGCCCCCCATGCTCATGTCATCTATTGGGTAACAAACTCAGTGGTCCCAAGTAAGATTGGTGCCGTTGTTGGAGTTGCTGTTGTTGCTTATGTGATTGTTGTTGGTGTTTTTGCTGGTGTTGTTATTGCTGCTGTTGCTGTCGCTGTTGCTGTGGCTGTTGCGGTTGCTGTAGTTGTTGAGGTCATGTTACTTGCGGGCAACTCTGTTAGAGGGCATGTGAAGCTGTCACGGCCTAGGGTATGCTAGAACCTAAGCGCGCGGAGCGCGCGCGTGTGGTTCTAGCAATGAATCAACGCAGTTCTGGGGGAGGGACGGGAATTCGCCAGAGGGTGCGAATTCAACAGCCCGAAACATGTACATACGTTGTACGCCACTGTTACACCACTGTTCACCAAACGTTTCCACACCTTTTTACATCACATTTGCACCGCGTGTACGTCGTGTCACATACATTTGCAAAGCGCTCCTGCGCCCCCTCGTGGAATGGCCGCTTTTGCGGAAGCAGTGGCACAGTGCGCAACGACAATTCAGTGTGGTCCACGTGCAACATGACGCGCCACAAACCGACAGGGGGGCTGTGCGTGGGCATTTCCGACACGCTCTGGGTCGGCACGGGCACGTGTGGCGGCGTGAAGAGGTATTTCCCCAACCATCCTTTGGTGTTGGGCCCTCGTTTTGACAAGGCAGCGCCCCGCGTCCCTCCTCTCCTTCCTCCTCCCCCTCCTTCCTCCCTCCTCCCATCCGTGCCTCTGTCTCCCCCACCCAGCACAGCGCTTCATGGCCCCACAGGGAGCTACACCTGAGGCCCCAGTGGCGGTGTCCAAATGCGTCCCCCCCACCCACCCAGCACAGCGTTTCGGGGCGCCTCGCGCAGCACAAAGGAATGCTTGGTGGGACTTGTGTTGGGTTGCCTTGGGACGGGAGTGCGCATTACATCATTTATTAGACTGCATCGTTTGTTCATGTTGGCCCTCATTCCTCAGCGTTCTGCCTGTTCATCATCCCTGGGAGTATTATTCAAGTGGCTTCCGCCATTCCGCCGACCCCCACAAGGACTGAGTGTTCGAGGCGATCGTGGAAGTTCTATTTTGGGTCAGGAGCCTCCTGAAATGAATGTGAGGGTCTCTCAGGATACGTGTTTGGGGCCTCGTCGAGAACTCGTGGGGGCATGTGGAGGGCTGTGTGGGGCCTCGTGAGGGCCTCTGGGGGGCTTCTGGGGGGCGCTTCGGAGGCCGTTTGGAGGGCCCTCGGGGGCCACTGCGGGGCTCCAGGGGCCATCTTCGTGGAGGAGGCTCGAGAGGTCAGTTCGTATTCCCCCTCTTGGGCGTTCTTGGAGCCCTCCAGGGGCTTTCTTGGGCCGTCTTGGGGTGGCCCTGGGGCTCTCTTTGGGCCCTCTGACCGGTTTGGGGCCGCCTTGGCGGGGCCGTCTTGAGGAGTGCAAAACGCTGTCAAAACGTGAAAAATGTGAACGTGCTGGAAATTTGTGTGTGTGTGTGTTTCTTCGAAATGAGTGGGATGAGTGGGGCCTCTGCGGACCCGCTCGGCGATCCTCTGGAGGCGCTTTTGGGCTGCCTTTGGGGCCTCGGGGGCCATCTTGAAGCCATCTTGGATCCTCGTGCGGCTACCCTGGGCCGTCATGACGCTTTCTTCCATTGTCTTGGCGATCTGTCTGGGCCCAGTTGGGCTGTCTTGGGGAGGCCCCAGGGGTGCGTGGACGAGCTCGTGCCCCACCCCTCCCCTAGAATGGCATGTTGGACCCCAGGGGAGGGGGTACGGGGGAGGGGGACAGCCAGCCATCTCACACGCCGGTTCACCCCCGGCAAGCGGGGGTCGGCGGCGTTCGATTGTTAGGATGTTGATGGCCGTTCGGGTAACGACGACGGCGATGATGATGATGATGACCACGACCTCGACGACGACGACGATGATGATGACGATGGTGATGACGATGATGATGATGATGATGATGATGATGATGATGATGATGATGATGATGAAACTGCTGATGGTGGTGGTGGTGATGCTGATGATGATGCGAATGATGATGATGGTGATGATGGTGATGGCGATTGTGATGGTGGTGATGATGATGCTGATGCTGATCATGATGCTGATGGTGATGCTGATTGTGATGCTTATATTGTGATGGTGATGCTACTGTTGAGTATGACGCTGATGATGATGGTCATGATGATGCTGATGTTGAAAGCTCATGGCGATGATGCGCATGGTGTTGATGATGACCATGATGATGCTGATGATGCTGATGATGTTTGTGATGCTGATGACGACGTTGATGATAATGACGATGTTGATGCGAGGGTGATGGTGATGCTGATGATAGTGACGTTGATACTGATGCTGATGCTGATGCTGATGCTGATGTTGATGATGATGATGATTGTGATGATGATGATGATGATGATGATGATGATGATGATGATGATGATGATGATGATGATGATGATGGTGATGATGGTGATGGTGATGGTGATGATGATAGTGGCTTCCGCCACTCTGCTGCTTCGTGGACTAAGGGAAAAGGAGAGTGACCCGGGTCCCGCATCCGAAATATCACAAGGAGCTCTCAAGATAGCCTCCAGAAGGCCTCCGTCGCCATTTTGGCTCAAGCTATTGTGGCCCCATTTGGCTGCAGGGCGTAGTGCATACTGAATTTTGTACACGTACATCTGCAGCCTCAGTGTTGCCCGTGCTCTAACACTCCGACATGGGGGTGGTGGCGGCGCCGCTCTGCGCTTTGCTTGCAGCGGTGGTTTCTGGATTGTCGCAAGTTCCACAATCATCTCCACGTGCCATGGAACTGAGCGCAACCGTAAACAACAAGCCGTTTTACAAAGCAGCCGAGGATGGACACATGTCAAAAGAGGATGCCGAGAGGCTGCTGGGCGGAATCCGAAACGCCAGCAAGAAGACAGGCACGTTCTTTGTGACCGTGCTGGATGGCGGCATGGTGAGCATAGGCGAAAACATGATCCTTAGCTTGAATGCCGTGCCGTGCGATACCCCTGTTCTTGTTGTTGGCTTAGGTGGCAACGTGTGCTCGAGATTCCTGGAGCCCGGTGGACTTATCTGCGTCGAGGTCTTCAGAGAGTCAGCCACTTCTGAGGACGAAGTGGCCTGGGGGTCGCACGAATATTGGGCGGTAGTTTTCCGCAAGCATGTAGTGTTGACCCTGGTTGCCATGAGCAAGACGGCGAGATGGGCTGCGTACACCGATCCAGACATTGTCTATCTGAACTGCCCGACGGACTACCTGATCAATGTCTCCACTGGGAAGGCCCAGACCATATCTGGAACATTCGACGAGTATGACATCGTCTTCTCACCGAATAACATGCTGTCTAAAGAGGCCACGACTGTAGACGACGTAGCAGAGACATACGCGACACGCGGCATGAAGGATATCTTGGTCGGTCCTGAAAAGCGCCGTGCCGACATCAACACAGGCCTTTTTGTGATGCGCATGTCGCCCATGGTGGAGGACCTGATGTTAACGACCATGCGAATCTTCAAGGACCAGGAGTTTGTGCACGGCCACTACCAGCAGTACTCCCTGGTCCAGGCGCTGGACCAGCTGCCAGGTGTCCGCGTCGGCGTCGCGGGGAGCGACCGGCTCACGAACGGCAACGTCTTCTGGGGCCACCGCGAGCTGCTCAAGGCGTCGGACGTGATCTCCGTGCACGCCAACTGGATGACGTCCACGATGAAGGTCCCGTGCCTGAAGGAGGCGGGCCTCTGGATCGACAAGGGCGCCCCGAAGAGGCTCACGTTCCAGCCGCCGACGCCCGGCCGGCCAGAGGGCATGCTGGACTCCAGGGGCGCCACGATCGAGATCTGCGGCGCCGACGCCGTGGCGGCCGCGCCTGCCTCCCAGCCCAACCCGCCGAGGCCGGCGCCCCAACAGGAGGGGGAGGGGCCCACCAGGCCGACTGAGCCAGGGTGTTACGTCTGGCTGCCCAGCGGATGTCCGAACCACAAGTTCAACGCCAAGGACTTCTGGCGCAAGAGGGAGGACGCCAACGTCCGCAGCCAGTGCCTAGTCGACGTGAAGGAGATGCTGGACGCGTGGTGCGGCTCCACAGACGCCCAGATGTTGTTCATCGCCCCCCCGCCGCCTACCCCGCCAGCCCCGAAGGGCCACGGGTGCTACATCTACATGCCGAGTGGTTGCGAGAAGCGCATGTTCAAGTCGCCGATCTGGAGGGAGCTCTCCTCGGCTACCTATCCCAACAGAGACACGTGCCAGGGGACGGCTGCCGCCGCGCACGACAGGTGGTGCGACGTGGACGATGCCATGGCCCTGTGGGTGGAGTAGGGCAGTCGGATGGTCTCTTCTTTGCTTCGGGCCCAGCATCAGGGCGCAGTATCGAGTCCTCATCAGCCGCTTGCGCCTGTTCATTACCTATGATCAGCTGCTTGAGCTGACAGTGTTTAATTCGCCGCTTGAGGCAGTAGGATCGAGCGTTCGCAGTGCCGTGGGTATTGGCCTTGTCGCGCTTCCCCCCCCCCCAAAAAAAAAAAGATAGCCTCCAGAAGGCCCAAGCGGACCACGCGATTGCCCCAAGACGAATTCAATACGACCGAAGGTGGCCCGAAGCGATTCCCTAGGATGCCTCAAGCCTCCCAGACGGTCCAGGTGTGCCCTTAGATTTCCCAAGAGGGCCTTCAACACCGCTGCAGTGCTCCCCAGCAGGTCCGCAGGGCTCCCAGGTGGACTCAACGTGGCCCAGGAGCTGCCCGGGATAGCCCACGGGTAATAGAAAAAAGATCACGAGAGGCCCCCAAGAGGCAAGACATGCTGGTTATCCCCGGGTGTTTGCATGATCGCATGGCTTTCGCACAGTCGCGGGTCCGGATATCAGAGTATCCCGAACGGTTCTTGGATTGTACCCAGCGTTCCAGCAGGCCTCAGGAGTCCTCCAAGAGGATCCCAATACGCATCCCGAAACAATTCGAGGCTCATGGCAGTCTGGCTCAAGTAAGCGAGCTTATCGAGTAACCTTTCCTTACATTCTCGTTGCGCCCTGCAGGATGACAGTACTGAGCGCGCCGAGCCTGCTGCGCTTGCTGGCACTTGTCCGCGCCGTGCCCGCCGCGATGTCTATCAGGTCAGGCTCCGCGAAAGACACGCCTGCCCATGCACCGGCACCAAACGCCAGTTCCACCTTTCGCAAAGAACGCCAGCGCCAACGCTAGCGTTCTGAATATAAATTTTCAAACTGAAGGGACGACTGTGCCTTCTGGCTGGCTTCAAGATTACGGTTACGTGTATGGTTCACGGGGTAATAAGTACACTTATGGTTGGTTTTGTGGCAACAATGCGGCGTACAAGGTTAACGGGTGGGCCACTACAACGGGAAGGAATCGCGCCGTAAGTGGTTATGATGATTTGCAGAACACAGGAGTGGTCCTTGACCGTCACTCAAATTGTGCAAGCGAGCATTGGGACATCGCGGTGTCTAATGGAGACTATCTGGTTGAAGTTGTGATACAGGATACCGTGTACTCAGGTCAGACGAGCGGGTGCAGACTGGAAGGGCAATCGCTAGGTCTCGGCAATGTTCCTGCCGGGCCAGGAGCAAGTAAGATTCTCGCCGTTTCGGTTAGCGATGGGCTCTTGACATTTATTGGAAATTTGGCCAATTCGTGTTCAATCATCAATCGTCTCATTATCCAACAGGCGGCGACACCAACACCGACTCCTGCACCAACGCCCTACCCCACCCCTTCCCCAACGCCTTTCCCGACGCCCGACCCGACGCCCTTCCCGACGCCGCATCCGACGCCCTTCCCGACGGCGTTCCCGACGCCCTTCCCGACGTTTTACCCGACGCCCTACCCGACGACGTTCCCGACAGCGTCCCCGACGCCCCACCCAACGCCCGTCTCGACGCCCGTCCCGACGGCGTTCCCGACGCCTTTTCCCACGCTTACCCGACAGCGTTCCCGACGCGCCACCCAACGCCCGTCCCAACGCCCAGCCCGACTCTCAGCCCGACGCCCAGCCCGACGTATCCTCCAGGTTGCCGAACACCATATCCGACGCTCCTTTCTTCAGGTTCTCCGGCGGCAGGGGCCAGCTCAAGCGTGGCTGCCACTGGCGACCCCCACCTTCAAAATGTGCATGGCGAGCGGTTCGATTTGATGAAGCCAGGGCGGCATATTCTGATAAACATCCTTCGTGCAGAGCAAGATGAAAAAGTATTGCTCCGCGTGGAGGCCGATGCGCGCCGATTGGGCCGGCAGCGCACGGAAATCTACTTCCAAGCCGTGAACGTGACAGGGCATTGGGCAGACGGTAAACAAGCCGGAGGGTATCCATACAGCGCGTCGCAGAATGGGGCCGAGGTTGCCGGGCGTGGTCTTACAAGCCCGGCTGTTCGATGGTTTTTTGTCTTTTGTTTGCGTTGCCTCCGCTTCCGCTTCCAGATGCGTGGCCCCGCAGCTGCCTCAGGGCCGCGCCCAGCCCCTGCAGGCCCCGCCCCACCAGAGCCAGCCCAGCCCCCACGAAGCTCCGGTTCCCCCCAGGGGGTGGGAGGTGCACGGGCAATCCGCAGCTCGCTGGAAACCCTACCCCCAAGCAGGCCCCAAAGGCACCATTAGGAATTGAACCCAAGAAGGCCAGAATGTGGGAGAAGGCGTCCCCCATTTTACTACAATATGAGCATGTTTATTGGAAGGAGGGGGCCATGTTCTGCTTGCCCATTCTATGGCACGTCGCCTATTCTTGGTGGTCGTCGTCGTCGTTGTGGCGGTGGTGGTGGCGGCAGTGGCGGTGGCGTGCGCGGTGGCAATGCGGTGGCAGCGGTGAACGCAGCCGTGGGGGGGGCGGCGGCTGTCGTCGCCGCGGTGTTGGTAGTGGCTTTGCATGGGCGGCGGCGGTGGCAGTGGCGGCAGCAGCGGCGGCGGCGAGCGCGGCCGCTGCGGGGGCTGACAAGGTTGTGGGAGCCGCGGTGTTGGGTGCCTCGGGCAAGCAATCAGCGGCCGAGGTGGCGGCGGCTGGGCAGCCAGTGGCAGTGGGAGTGATCGTGGTGCGGGCGGCGGTGGCGGGAGAGGTGGGTGGTGGGGCCCCTTGGTGGGGGCGGCAACAGCAGCGGCGGGGACAGCGATAGCGATGGGGCAATGCTGGGCGGGGGGCGGGGGGGGCGGTGGACGCGGTGATGGTATTGGCTGCGGCGTGCCTGGGGCAGGCGCGTTTGCTTGCTTGCTGGCCAGTGGCGGTGGATGGCTGGGTCGCGCTGGGGGGGTTGCGGCGGGTGGTGGTGGCTGTCGGCGCAGCAGCGGCGGCGGTGGTGGGCCTGGGTGGCAATGCCAGAGGTAGCGGCAGGGTTGGCGGCCGCGGCGGCAGCGGTGGCGGCGGCTTTCGCATTGGTGGCGGTGGCTGGTGAGGGCTGGGGCTGTCAGCCCCCAGGCTTTCGAGGGGATCTGGCGCTTGCCGCGCCAGGGCCTTTGGGGGCCGCAAGGCCTTTCAGGCACACCAGAGGGTAGCGCGCATCTGCGTCTGACAGGGGGGCCCTGTGCCAGGCGCCTACCTTGCATGGGGGCCCCAGGGGGCCCTTAGGTTTCATCCAGGGACCCCGAATTGGGGATGTCTTGCCTCTGCGTCTCCGCATACGGCGCTCATTTGTCTAAATTTCGGAATTCCTGAGTACGCAAAGCTCTAGTGACATGTAAACGGCATTACTTGCACAGAATCCTTTCTACAGTGATTTCCCCTGCAATGGCAATGGCAATGCTAGGACTATCCCCACCCCCCCCCCCCCCCCCCCAAGCAGGCTACACAGGCCCCACCAGGAATTGAACCCAAGAAGGGCAGAATGTGAGAGATAGGATGCCCCATTTCACTACATTACCAGTATCTTATCAGGGAAGGTTGGGCATATCTCGCCTGCTCCATTCCATTAAATTGTGTCATTTCACTACGTTGCCAGCAGATTCCGAGAAAGGCCCAGGCTCCGGGCAAATTCCCAGGAGTGAAGGGCCATGAGGCCCCAAGCGCCCTGGCGCCATCGCCCAAGGGCCTCCTCGAAAGCCTCAAATCCGCCAAGGCCCTGGCCCTCTGGAGGCTACAGGAGCGCAGACGCCCCAATCCCCCCCCACAGTTGCCCCTCAGGGCAATCGAACTGCGGGCGCGAAAAAAAATGCCCGCATTTTTCAAGGAGATTAGCTCGGCGGGCCGGAAAAAAGTGCCCGCGCCCCCCTGCCACTTCTGGGCAATCGAAGTGCGGGCAGAAAAAAATCGCCCGCAGTTTTTCAACGAGATTAGCTCTGCGGGCCAGAAAAAAATGCCCGCGCCCCCCTGCCACCTAAGGGCAATCGAAGTGCGGGCAGAAAAAAATGCCCGCAGTTTTTCAAGGAGATTAGCTCAAGGGGCAGGAACATTTGTCCGAATCTATGTTTTTCCAACTGAGACCTGTAAGAAGTGTTTCTGAGATTTGAGCCTGTGAAGTGCAGATTCTGTTCTATCGCCTTATCGGTCAGCCCACAGAGTCAAGAAAGGTTTATATCGCCCCGCCGATGTCATGCACTTGGTGGCCCTGGCCCCTGTGGAGGCGACCCCTGCCTCCACAGAAGGCGCGCTCGCGCGAGCCAGCCCGGGATGGCTGGGCGCAGCGCTGCTGCGGGCGCCCCCTGCCTGGGGCTGCGCGAGGGCTCGCGGGCCCACAGCCGCGGCCGCCGCCGCCGCTGCGACCACCACTGCATCCACGAATGCGCCATGCCACTGCCACCACCGCCGCCGCCGCGAGCACGACCACCGCCATCGCCACCACCACTACTGCCACCACAGCCATGGCTGCTGCTACTGTCGCAGCTTCCGCCTCCGCTGCCCTTTGTGCCACTGCAGCGGCCACCCCTGCTGCTCCACGACCGCCGTTACTGCTACTACTGACGCTGCGGCTGCCACCTCTACTACTATTAACACTGCCGCCGCCGCTACTGGTACTACCACCACTACTACTACCACTACTACTACTGCTACTACTACTACTACTACTACTACTACTACTACTACTACTACTACCACTACCACCACCACCGCTACTACCACCACTACTACTACTACTACTACTACGACCACCACCCACCACCCCACCACCACCACACCACCACCACCACTACTACTACTACTACTACTACTACTACTACTACTACTACTACCACTACTACCGCCACCACTACTACTACTACTACTACTACTACTACTACTACTACTACTACTACTACTACTACGACTACTACTACGACTACTACTACTACTACTACTACTACTACTACTACTACTACTACTACAGCTACTACTACTTCTAGGCTCACCCCGGGCGGGGCTCGCAGCAGGGCTTCCCTTTCTAAGCCTACCATGGCCTTGCCAGTGGGCCCCCGTGGGCCTGCCCTTTGCATGCCCTGTGGCTTGCCCCTTGCCCAGGCCTGCCCCAGGCCCGCCGCCGTCAACCGCGCAGGCTTCCTATTAGGTCTGAGCCTGCACCTGGGCCCCCGTCCGAGGCCTTGCCTCAGGTCGCCCCCTGGTTTCTCAGCTTCGGCGCGGGCCTGAGGTCATGGCCAAAGCCGCGCCGAGGCCCAGGCTGGGGGCATGCGTGGACCTTAGACTCCCTCAGACTAAGCGCCCCTCGCGCCCGTGCGTTCGGACTCACTTGATTGCGCCGCCTTGCATGTCGTCGCGCTGCTGCGAGGCACCTGTTTTGCGCCTCTGTGTTCGTGATTGGGTTTGATTGCTGCATTGCGTAGCATTGCTCGGGGTTGTTGGGCATTGCTTTGCACTGCGCAGCCGACTTGGCGATCGCCATCACCATCGCTTTTCCGTGCCCATCTTGGCTCCGGGCTCGCGCGGCGGGGGTCGTCTCCCCGCTCGCGCTTTCGGTGAACTCGCGCGCTGCTATCCTGGGCCTCATGTCTGGGCATCAGTGCGCCCGGGAGAGCCCAGCGGCCTCGGGGGCCTCGCTGGCCTGCCCAGCACGCCAGCGCCCGCTCCGCGCCGTGCGGGCCTCTTCCAGGGAGGCCTGCGGCAAGTGCCACGAGAGGGCCAGGGGCGGCTGGCTGCAGCGCTGCGAGCCCTGCGGGGCGCTGATGTGCCGCAGCTGCGCGACCGCCGCCGTGGGCTTTGCTGCCGCCGCGCCGCCCGGCGCCACGCCCGCGGCCAGCGACAGCGACGGCCTGCCGCTGCCGCCGGCGGTGCGGGAGGCCGTCGACATGGCCGACGACCCGACGCCTCAGGCAACCACGGACGACGAGGCAGCGGATGGCCTGGAGGGCCGGCCGTCGGCCGTGGACGTGGCGGCGGCGGCCGCCGCCGCGGCAGAGGTCGATCCGATGGCCGACGTCTTCGGCGACTTCAGCCCCGCAGACGACCCGGGCGCGGACGACCCAGGCGCGGCGCCGAGCGCGGCGGCGCCGAAGGCCACGGCCAAGGCGAAGGACAAGGCAAAGGCCAGGGCCAAGGCCAAGGCTGGCGCCGCGGCGGCGGCCCCGCCGCATCGGCGCCGCCTCCGCCAGGGCCTCGCCGCCGCCGAGAAGGGCCGAGCCCGCGGGGCCATGAGCGGGCGGAGGCCGCTGGAGCGGCCGGCGCGCGCGGGCGCCAGTCGCGAGGACGACGTCCTCGAGATCGGGCCGTCCGCTCGCGAGGCGGCGGCGGCGGGGGAGCCGGCGGGCGGCCTCGACGAGGACAGCGGCGACGACGCCCTGGCCGACATTGCTGCCGCGTGGGGCGAGGCCGCCGCCTTGCCCCGCCGCAGCGGCCAGAGCGGCTGGAGGGGGGCCCAGAAGCGGCGGGCAGCGCCCGTGGGGGAGGAGGCCGAGGGGCTGGACGAGGGACAGGGCGAAGTCCACCCCGACGATGCCATCCCCCTGGAGGTGGTCGCGCTGCTCGACAAGCCGGCCGAGGCCGTGCCCGACGAGCGCCGGGCGGCGGTGGAGGCCGCCCGCGCGTCCATCGAGCCCCGCCGGCTCATCCGCCCGCACGCGGACAAGGTGCCGTGCGGCGGGCCGGCGGCCGAGGGGCGCGTGCGCCATCGACACCTGGCGCGTTCGGGGCTGCACGCCCGGGCTTTGTGCCTGCAGGTCCTTTCCGACATGGAGGGCCGCGACGTCGTGGAGGTCCTGGAGGACTGCGGCATCCTCCCCGAGAGGCCCGCCTGCGACGCGCCCGACTGCGGCGCGCCGGGGGCCCAGCAGGACGCGCGCGTCCGGGCGGGCACGCGCGCGGCCCGCGCTGAGGCCCCGCGGGGGGCGGGGCGCGGCGCAGGGCCGCAGGCCGTGAACATCGGGGGCCGGGAGGTTCGCGTGCGCCACGAAACGGCGACCTACCGGTGCGGGCGGTGCCAGGGCACCCGCGC